AGGCTCTCACCAGTGTGTGAGTGAGTGAGTGGAGAGTTCTGGTTTAGTAGAATTGTACCCACACTTTGCACAGATGTAAATAACTACAGGTGCTAAGCCGTAGAGAATCAGGACTTTTTTCAGGTCCATTTTCATGGCTGATGTTCCTTCTTACCTGTACCTGAATAAAAAAGGACCCCTTTTCTTTTTAAAACTTTTATGACATAATCAGATTTGGGAAATTGTATAGCCTGGCTGTTCTGAAAGTATAACTGATTGGATACATGTCCCTTCTAGACTGATAATAGTTAAGGCTACGTTATTGTCACGGATATTTTTAGTAAAAGTCCCGGACAGGTCAGGGGCAATAATGAAAAATTCACGGAAGCCCGTGACCTGTCTCTGACTTTTACTAGAAATACCCATGAGAAAATGGGTAGCCTGGGCAGCTGGGAGGGGAGGGGCTGGGAGCTCCAGGGTCCCCTCCCACTGCGGCTGTGAGCTGCCCAGGTCCCTTTTGCTGCCCATGGCAGCGGAAATCCTGCCTGCTGCTGGGAGCGGTGGGGGTCCCTCTTGCTACCCGTGGTGGCCAGGAGCTCCATGGATCCCCTCTGCCTCCCGCAGTCCATGGGAACGGTGGGGATTCCCCCTGCCACCAGGTCCCCCCTGCCGCCCACGGGAGCTGGGAGCAGCGGGGGTCCCTCTTGCTGCCCACGGTGGCCAGAAGTGGTGGATCCGCCCTGCCGCATGTCTTTGGAAGTCCTGGATTCCTTGACCTCCATGACTAAATCGCAGCCTTAATAATAGTTGCAGATTCTGCCATGTGTCCTTAGGAAGCTACTCTCCCTAGACTTGCAGTGAGGCATCAAATGAACTCTTTATTGTGAATGTCACAAGCTATTAATGATGTTCATGAATGTAACACAAACAAATGTATGGTTTCTCTGTGCATTGATTAGATTGTAACTCCTTAATTTTAACTGACAAGGATAAACTCAGTTAGTAGACCTCATCAATTGTATAGTTTAATCTACTTATTTACTCTGACTATACTCATCCCTTGTATGTTAAGTCATTCATTATGTAATTCATAATGTCTTTTTCAGGAACCCTGATACCACTAAATTTGGAACAAAGACTACCGAAATATTTTCTTGTTTTCATTTCCTTAGATACTGTACATATTTGAAACACCCTGTGCTGTAAGTAACCTTTTGTGTTGAGAGTGACCCCTTCAAAGCCTTCCTAAGGTTTCCAATACAATTGAGTATGACCTTTAGTTAAAGACTATCCTCTATTAGGTATTCTGCTTGTGTTGGTCCCTTAGCTAGTCTCTTCAGATACTGTAAGTTTCACTGAATATATTTCACTTTCAGTAACTGCTTATTGAAAATATCTCTGAACATTTCTAGAGCAGGCATTGTGGATAGAGAATCTAAACTTACAGCTGCACTGTATATGTGTTTTATAAAGTCAGAATGCTTTCCCTTTGTAAAGCACAAGGTTCTTTGCAGTCTGTTTTCTTTGAATCTTCCGTTTGAGTCAGGTGTTAAATTCGGTCTCTTGTAATCCAAGTGATGGCTGCTGACGCATGGGATGATGGGGCACCTTCCCTAAACTCCCTCTCCTCCTCCTCCCTAGTCAGTTCAGATTTCTTCCAGTGGAAATGAAAGGCTGGTTAATCACAATTTGAATAAAGTAGCAAGGACAGTTTTCAGGAAGTGCTTATGCTAACTCACTCCACTGTATGAAAAATTCAGCTGCTGCTACCTCATATCAAAAGTCTGGTGAATGTATATGCGTGCACAAGTGTTTTCTGTGGGATCTTGCTTAATTTATTTTGAAATCTGACTAATCTCATTGAGATTTCTTCAAGTTGTAGAAGTGTCATGAAGGTTTTGCATAACATGAACTAATAACAGCAGGCCTGTCCTGTTACAGCTGCCAAATTTTTCTGTGACCCTTTTTCAAGTCCCTCATTGTTTGTCATCCCTATTGACAGTAGGCAAATTAGAATGCAAGCGCTGTAGGGCAAGGGTAGTGTCTTCTGGTGTATTTGTAAAGTGCTATTGCAGTGAGGCCCTGATCCTGAGGCGGGGGTTGGGTCCCACTACAATATGTATCATTAATAAGGCTATGTTTATGTCACGGAGGTCATGGAAATCACAGAATCCGTGACTCCCAGAGACCTCTGTGTCATTCTCTGCTTCAGCCCCAGGGCTGCAGGACTCCGGAGCTGACAGTCAGTGGGGCCCTGGGCAGGGTTCTGGTGACAAGCCATAGGAGGCCCCCTGCAAAGTTCCAGTGACAGGTGACAGACTCCTGAGGGGGCCCGCCTCAGGGTTCCAGCAACAGGCAACAGCCTTGTGCGGCAGGAAGGGGACACCTCGGGCAAGCAGCGGGGGTGTTCCGTTTTCTCTTTGGGAAATATGGTCACCCTGCAGCTCCCAGCCGCTGTGGGCGGAGGGGGAACCCCACAGCTCCCAGCCACCACAATGGTGGGGGAAACCATGGAGCTGCAGCAGCAAAAGTCACAGACAGGTCATGGCTTCCATGAATTTTTGTTTATTGCCCGTGACCAGTTCATAAATTTTACTAAAAATAACCATGACAAAATCTTAGCCTTAATTATTAATAATATACAATCTTCTCCGCTTCGGTAACACTCGGAATGCCCCCTTGTCCCATCAGTGTGAACCTTTGGGTTGATGGTGCAAACTCCCTCACAGGTCTGCTGTTTAGCAGATGTGAAGCTCCAAATTTAGGAACTTACTGACTATAGAGAGTCTGTGCCTAATGGGAAATGGGACTTCCATTTCTCAACTAGCTGCACTGTGAAGAGATGGGTCAAATTTTGGCCTGGTGTAAACAAGCAGAACTTACATTGTCTTCAGTGGGAGAGGCGCCTGCTTATACCACTGTGGGACTTGGTTCAGAATGTGCTATCTCAAGAATAAAGTGTGGAGAATGGGAGGCGGAGAGCAGGGGAAGTAACAAACTAAAGTAGATGGTGAAGGAGAAGACTTGGGATAAGCAGCTACTTCTCCACTATCTGTGTGCATTAAATTAAAGGAAGAGTCAGCGGAGTTTGCTTCCAGCTTGTTTTCAGTAACTGCATTGAAAGTAAACTTTGCACTAAAATGCACTGGATACAGAAACTCTCTTGGCTTTTGTCTTTTACTATTGTAGTTCCTTGACATGGGAACTGGAGAGGCTTTAAAAAATAGTCTGCAAAGGTTCTCTAGCTTCTCTATAGCAAGAACTGCAACATCCTGTGCCAAAATGCTGTCTTGTGTGTTGCTACAACCATACTCCTGGGGGAATCTCAGCATCCCTTTGCCTTCTGCAGCAGCAGTACATTGCAGGGGAGGGCAGGAGGGTATTTCTTCTTTTTACCCAGTCACAGAAATGCATGAAGAATCCAGTTGTGGATGCTCTTGAACAGGGGTGCTAGAGGGGGGTGGGGAAAGATCCTGTCTACTCCCCAGAGCACCCGTGTGGGAAATCTAGACATTGTTTAAGTGCTAGGCTGTTTGGCCACTTAACACACCCTGGGCCTGTCTCCACAATGTATTAGTCTGCATGAGAGGGGTGTAAATTCTAGTGTGCACTAGTGTTGATATAAAATTATTCTACTTAACTGCCAGGGGGCAAATTTGTCACGTACACATGGGAGAAAGAAGAAGGGAAAACATCAGCTATAGGTTGTCTTAACTCAGGAAGTTCCTTCGAGAGGAAATGTAGCCAAACTCCAAACCTGGAGACAATGGAACTTTCTGTGCCTGCGTCCTGTAGATAACTAACTGCTTGGCTTGCAAAATAACGCAAGGAGGGAGCAAGTAGATGAACAATAAGGGGTCATAAGAGGGGCAGATACATGTAGCTTGCTAATTATGTATGGTAATGATAGCAAATTTTGGCCAATCATAGAGCGATAGATTATCATAAGCAACTGCATATAATGCTTTGGTGTAAGTGTTTTCTTTGTTCTTGCTGACTTATGAGCTCGAACCCAATTGCAATTGAAATAAACGGATCGCCCCTCCCGGGGCTCCTTGCTTGATTAGCTGTGCCCGTCTCTCCTTCTTCCTCAGCTGGAATGGACAGGAATTTCTATGACAGTGTGTTGCGCACTAACTGGCCCCCATGGACCCTGCTAGCATGCACTAAAAGTGATTACAGAAATCTGACCACAGCTCATATAGTTCCATTTCAAACAGTACTAGATTAACGCGCACTAAGAAGCTTTTAGTGCATGCCAACAGGGTCCACATGGGCCAATTAGTGTGCAACACGCTAGTGGACACCCCTCAGTGTGGACTAACACACCATATAGACAAGCCCCCCAGCGTATTCCTCACCCCAAAGGGGGACATGGGTAGGTGGGTTGGGAACATGGCTATAGCCCCATCTCCCATTTGTGGCTTCTGGAATTAGGAAGCACATTCTGGAAAGCCGTGCATTCCTCTCTTTTGTATGAAAGTAGTATGGAGTGAAGGGAATCCTGCTGGTTCAAACTCCCCTGAGGCCATCTGCCCTGCACAGGCAGAATACCTCTGGGCACCAATGATCAGACATTGTCTTCCCTCCCCTACCTCCCACAAGAGTAGTTCCTTCTGCAAAAGCCAGGTTTTGGTTGTTCTTTGGCATCTTTCTATACCTCGACACCAGAAATTCCTGCAGTCAAAGGGCTGACCTGAAAAATAGGGTAGTTTAAAAAAAAAAGAAAGAAAGAAAAAGTAAAGAAGAGAACCTTTTCTGCCTTGTCCAATGGCTCGCTCTTCCCTAGATATTGAGGAGCAGTTACAGCTACAGTCATTGCAATTAATATATTTCTCTGTTCTTTCTCCTGTCTGTAGACTTTTTTCTCCTATAGAATATCATTTGGTCCTGAGTGAAAGTTAATCAGCCAGTGGATGATGTTACATTTGTGATATAGGAAACAAGCATATTTGGAAGAACTCTATTTAAAGCACTGCACTCATGCCCTAACATAGCTTTATGTTTGTTACTGTTTATAGAAACTGAAAAGCTCTGACTTTGATGACTGGAAGAACGTCAGAGGGCCCCGTCCATGGGAGGATTCCAAGTCTCTTCAAGAGCAGCAGCAGCAAGTTCTTCATTCTAAGCCATCTTGACTGTGTGCGCTCACTCTGGTGTCTTTATAGAATCACTGCTATGCCAATGACTGGGCTTTCTTGCTTTCTAATCCTGTGTCCAGGGAGAGACATGGGTGGGGAAAAACCAAGTTGACAGGTGGTTTACTTGAGATCAATCTGAGATGAAATGTTAAATAAAGATCTTTGTTCAACTGCATCCATTTGCATAGAAGCCCATAGACCGTGTATATTAATTCTTAATAAAGTTCAGCCCATTCTTTCATTGAGGATGTCAGTGTTTTCCTTCAGTATTTTTAATAGCTACTGGTCAAAATCTTGTGTGGGCTTCAGTGAGGGCTGACATCTAGGAATTCAGCCTGTCAGTAGCACAAGTTGTCACCCTAATGAGAGCGGTGGTTCTGCAGATGGTTCTAGATGCGTGTGACCAGATACATGTTGGCGCAGAGAGCTCCTCTGTGATCTCAGGCTCAAAGCTTTTAAACATGGGAGGTACTCTACAGACTTAAGAGCTGTTAAGGAACAGCATGCACATTTTTGGATAATAATGCTCTTGTGTTTTATTTCTAGCACCTCGCCCGTACACTAATCAGTTCCAGCAGGTAATGGTTTTAATAACATTCGTTCAGCTGTGGTCAGATTTCTGTAATCACTTTATCGATGTGCTGTTGCGGGCAGCAACTTTCCCTGTGGAACATTTCAGTTTAAATAAGAGCTCTTCCACTTTAAGAGCCTTGCTGTTTTTTATGTGAGCTAGCCGAGCAGAGTGGTAGTATCTTCTTGACCCAATATGAGGAGTGCAAAATCTCCCTAGGACTGTTATAATATACCTGTATGTGCACATATATATAGATGTAGGGAAACAGTTTACCTGTATTTGGCTCTCTCTATAATCTTCTTTGTGTGAATCTGTACCTTCATGCACTAATATGTAGAAGCTGCTTAGGCAAGTAGTTATGGTAAAGTTTAGAACCTTCTTGCAAAGAATGTCTTTGTAGCTGCTTCTAGGTGGTTCCTTTCAGCCACAATGAATCTCTGTCTAAGGTGTTGCAAAAGACATGTAAAACTCCTCTCCTGGAGAGCTGGGTAGTTAAACATGGGTCAACAGAAGATGCTACTTTCGGAGCACTCCAGAGACAAGTACATGTAAATCTCAAAACTCACAGAGACATGTTCTCTTTAAATCCCTTCCCCAGATAATGTGTCTAATGCACCTGGAATGTCCTCCCCCATCCTGTGTATCATGCACCCTCCCTCAAAACTCACTTTTCTACAGTCTCTCCAACAATGAGCTCCATTCCCAGGCCACACTAATGAAATCTACATTCATTTTAAAGAGGAACTAACATGATACATGCTGCCTGAAATCAGACAACCTCTTAGCCTCAGTGAGGTCTGTTTGCATGCCAGATTTGAACTTTCTGCCATATTTTAGTTATCTATGAAAAAATGAATTTGTGATCAGACTGGGAAATAGTTGGTACATTTCTGGTCTCATTTGCACTAATGCATCTCTGGAATAACTCTCATCCCTTCCCTTTTTGAAGTATATTTTATCCTCACTTGGCTGCCAAGATCCCCATGTAGTCCCTAATCCTGCAAACATTTAAATAAATTGGACTTGCATAAAGTTAAGCATGTGCATAAATGTTTGCAGATTTGAGACCTGAGTTTGTAAATTTCTCAGGACTGTCTTCTGTGTTTTTCCTGTGATGCATTTATCATACTTATAGCGTCTATAAAATAATAAATAACCATATAATACATGTATTATTTTTACTATATTATACCTCAAGATGGCTGAATGAAAGTTGCTCAGATTTTTAAAAAAATTACCTTGGAGCTGAGATGAATGGAATTGGAATGTTGCAATTTTTTTGGAATGTTGTGGGAATGTTTAAACAGTGAATTATTACACAGAGTGTTTTGCTATTTGAACTACAGAGGTCACTCCCAGGGACTGCTGTAATAATGGCTCATACATGTAAGCATCATCTTATTGCATTTTATCTTAAATAATTTCAGCTCTTATCTTTCATCTATTCAAATAGATTCCTTTCTTCCACCTCTCTCCCCTTTCTCCCTGTGAAGAATCATTCATGACAGCAATTAGAAATGGAAAAGATTTATTAGATCCTCTAATCCATTACATGCATGTACAAGATGCAGTCTCCTGAGAGCAATTTAATATAGTTTTCTAACACATACGACACTTGATCTGGCAAATCGAGGGTGTGAATTCCCAGAGAAGCCAGGTTTACAATGTGACACTGGCACACCAGGTGCCAGCTCATTCTAAGGTCCCTAGGCCTCATTGAACTTTTACAAATGCATAGCTGGAAACCAATCTGGCTTACCTGTGGGTTAGCAGTATCAAAATAGATATTAGAGTTATAACAATGTGTTTAGACTATGGAATGCTTGTAGGATGCTGCATATATTAATCCTAGTTATAATATTTTCTGTATCCCATATTATAAGGTAGTGTTTAAATATAAAAATGTTTAAGACTGTAAATTCCTCACAGTCAGGGGAGAAGAATTACCAAGTGTGAAATATTAGTTTACCACAAGAGGTGTTATCTCCTGCCCATCAGGAAGGACTATTGAATCCAAATGGGCCATTGTGGAACAAAGACTCTGTTGATTGCTTCCCTCCCCCCCAATGAAGTGGTTGCATGCAGGATCGCTCATCCCATCAGCTTGGATTCCGAGGTAGGGGGGATAAAAATCCCTGACAAGGAGAAACTGGATCTTTTATACTGTCTGGACTCTGAGGGGCAAAGATTTCCAAACATAAGCAAGAGATCCCAACATTGCTTGGCATGGGTCAGCCCTAAAGAACATATAGACATGCTTATTATAGAAACTTATATTACCTTTTAAAATCTAAAACTGTAAACTCTTGTATGTCTATGTTTTCTGTTTTACCCTTATAACTAACTCTCTTTTCTTAGTTAATAAATCTTGAATTAGTTTATTACAGGCTTGGCTACAGGCATTGTCTTTGATTTCAGATCTGAGTACAAATGACCTGTGGTAAGTGATTGGGACTGGGAGTAACCTGAATATTGTAGTGATTTTTGGTGTAAAGTGACCATCTATCACATAGTCCAACTTACCTGGGTGGCAACATAGTCCCCCTGGGCATTCCAGTCTATCTGTGACTCCATGGTAAGACTGTTATAGACTCATAGACTTTAAGGTCAGAAGAGACCATTGTGATCATCTAGTCTGACCTTCTACACATTGCAGGCCACAGAACCTCACCCACCCACTCCTGAAATAGACCCACAACCTCTGTCTGAGTCGCTGAAGTCCTCAAATCATGGTTTAAAGACATCAAGTTACAGAGAATACACCATTTACGCAAGTTTAAACCTGCAAGTGATCTGTGACCTATGCTGCAGAGGAAGACAAAAAGCCCCAAGAGTCTCTGACAAGCTGACCCCGGGGAAAATTCCTTCCTAGTCCCAAATATGGTAAGCAGTTAGACCCTGAGCATGTGGGCAAGACCCTCGGGGCAGATACCTGGGAAAGAATTCTCCATAGTAACTCAGAGCCCTCCCAATCTAGTATCCCGTCTCTGGGCGTTGGGGATTTTTCTACTGGCAGTTGCCAATAGGCATATGTCATTGTAGGCAGTCCCATCATACCATCCCCTCCAGAAAGTTATCAAGCTCAGTCTTGAAGCCAGTTAGGTTTCTGCACCCAGTGCTCCACTTGGAAGGCTGTTCCAGAACTTCACTCCTCTGATGGTTAGAAACCTTTGCCTAATTTTGAGTCTAAACTTGTTGATGGCCAGTTTATATCCATTTGTTCTTGTGTCCACATTGCACTTAACTTAAATACCAGGGAGGGAGAGGAGTTATTTATCCCTCTGATGTATTTATAGTGCTTTAGGAGTTCACAGTTGTTACTGGGTTGATGAAATCCAATTACAGAACATACAACCAGTCAGGGCCGCCTGGGGGGGGGGGGGGCAAGTGGGGCAATTTGCCCCGGGCCCCACAGGGGCCCCCACGAGAATGTTGGAGGGTCCCCTCCGCCTTCCCCCATCCCCCAGTGCCTCAGCGCGCCACGTCCAGGAGCGGCCCTGGACAGCACTGCAGTGGCGTGGCTCGGGCGGGGCCTGAGGTCCTCCCGCTCGGAGCCGCATGGTAAGGGGGCCGGGCTGCGAGCTCCGGCGGGCCGAGCGGGAGGAGCTCCTGGACGCGGCTCACTGAGGCTCTGGGGGAGGCGGGGGTAAGCGGCATTGTAAGCCCCTCTGAGCCGGGCACCCCCCGACCCCAAGCTCTGAGCCCAGCCCCTCTGAGCCAGGCACCCCCCGACCCCATCCCCCCACAGCCCTGACCTTCAGCTCCGAGCCCAGCCCCTCTGAGCCGGGCACCCCCCGACCTCCAGCTCCGAGCCCAGCCCCTCTGAGCCCTGACCCCCAGCTCTGAGCCCAGCCCCTCTGAGCTGGGCATCCCCCGACCCTCCCCCCCAGCCCTGACCCCCAGCTCCGAGCCCAGCCCCTCTGAGCCGGGCACATCCCGACCCCATTCTCCCCCCCAGCCCTGACCCCTAGCTCCGAGCCCAGCCCTTCTGAGCCAGGACACCCCCTGACCCCATCCCCCCCACAGCCCTAACCCCCAGCTCCGAGCCCAGCCCCTCTGAGCTGGGCACCCCCCAACCCAGAGCCCAGATCCCCACCCAGTCCTGGGCAACAGTAGTGCTATCCCCAGGCAGCGACAGCCCATTGGCACCAACCATCACCCAGCGACAGCCCATTATGTAATTACAAATGAATACATACCATTAAAGCATTTAATGTTTTTAAATAATGTATTTAGTGTATTTTCAAATTATTAAAAATTAATTTTTGAATGTATTTCACTGGTTATTTTTTACATTTCCAAATACATGTTACTATAGTATTGCAACTTTTTTTTATGGCAGGGGCCCCCGAAATTGCTTTGCCCCAGGCCCCCTGAATCCTCTGGGCGGCCCTGCAACCAGTTTGTGGTTTCTGCCCTGAGGTTGGCACTCACAGCTGTAAGCCACTCCAGACAGCATGACATACACATTAGTACCTCAAACTAACCTGTTTCTCCACCCCCTCTAGAGAGCCAGCTAACTCTCTCTACATATATCATGCATCAGGCTCCCATCTATTTATCCCTAAGGCTGCTGCTGTTTCCCCTCTTTGCTAGCAGTAGAAGGATGCACATAGGATTCTCTGCAGCTGTCTAACATTTAAAATGTCATCATTTTCCCTCCCTAAATGG